AAAAGTGTGGGGGGGGGGGGGGGGGAGCTGCAATTGCTCATCTCACCCTTCTCTCTTAGATTTAGCGACATAGGGTGTCTTCTGGACGAGCGTCGTCTATTGGCTCGTGCGAGAGGCAACATTCTGCGTACCTGACAGCAATGTATGCATTGTGTCTCGTGACATTGATTGCACATGCGCGCCGAGGATTGCCCGATGTCACACGTGCAGGGTTTTAAGTTGCAATGAATTTTTGCAACTGACATTCTGACACTCTCGAAATGTTCACGCATAAACAGACTCGTTGCGTTCTTGCCAGTAACCAATAAAATAGTTTAACGCAACAAAAAATACTGAGTGCGTTTGTAATGCGAAAATAAATAGAAATGACTATTCACGAGTGTTTTCCAGGTGTGCTGACCCTATCGAGCCTCCAACGACCGTGGGATAAATTTCTTAGAAGTTATGTCCATTCCTTATTTCTCTTGATATAATAATCATTGGGAATTTCCCAAAATGATGAATTCACGGGATACTCTGAACTACAAAATAGTTTTGCTTTGCGACATCTTACGAAAGCAGATATATGCGAGAAATATTTAATTTAACCATAAATATATTATTTAACATTAGTATTTAATCCAAATAATTACATTACTTATTTTGAGTCAGCTAATTACAGTATCATTGACTATGAAACTGTAGTAAGATGACTTGATTAAAATCGCAATATTTATTATTTATTTTTTAATTAATGTTAAATTTAATAATATCTTATTACAAAATTAATATATTTGAAGTACGTGAATTGTAACGTTTTCATTAAGTTTTTTATGATCTTCAAAAAATGAATCTCCCATTAGTCTATCGAAATAGATCGAAATATATGTGAAAATTACACTTTTACGTTAATATAAATATGTATTCAATTTAGCTATTAACTAATAATCGTTTACATTATATTAAATTATCTAACACAATTTACTATTTAATTCGATTATAAATTAATGTAATATTTGCTTGTAATTTAAAATTTATACAAATACATAAAAAGCATCAATATTTTATTTTATACAAATTCGTATTAATCTCTTCGAATATAATAGATTGGTTTTAAAACGTATAAAAAAACTTACTCTACTAATATCAGTGTCATTTTTCCATTCTGGTCGAATTATATAATCTTTATTCGAGGGTAATGGAACTCTCGCCCTTGCTATCCATCCTGGATCACCGGGTCGAAGTGGTCTTTAAAATAATATAACAAAAATTAAATAAAAAAAAATTTGTTATTTACGACTAAGAATAATAATCGTATTTATCTTATACTTCGAAAACAATTACGTTTTATTTTTGTTTAATTAATACTATTTTATAATTTCCTATGATAAAATTATTAATATATTTATAATTTCCTTATGTTCAAATAATTAAATACAAATATTTATCTATATTGCAATGTTGCAAGAAATATAAGTTTTTTGCGATTAGATCAATACATTATTTTTGATAATTTTTTGTATAAACTTTATTTTATGTTCCGAGTTTCCATATTTAATCGTACATCGTAAATCGTAATAAATCAGTTCCTTACAGAGTATTTTTCTTTAGACTATGGAAGACTGATAACCATTTAATCTGATTTAGTGGTATAATCCTTCATATAAAAACTAAAAAAAGTGAAATTGATATATCTAAACGATTTTAAAATCGTATATTTCAAAATAAAGCTGTAAAAATTATAAAAATACAATAACATACGGAAAATCCTTCATACACATTATATAAAATTTTAATGGATATTATGTTTATTAAATAGATGTATTAAAAAGCTTTGTATAAAAAGTGTGCGAATAAAAGATGATTTAGAATAAAAATTCTTTACGCAAATTTTTATTTATAAAACAAAAAAATGTTATAATTATTGTATCAAAATATTAAATTAAAAAAATGTATTTATTTTGTAAAAATACTTTTAAGTAAAATTTACACTGTTTTTGTTAGTTAAATTTTCAATGTATTAATTGGCATGTTGTAATACAGTAATATTTATAAATTAAGTTTTTTTAGAAAAGTAAATTGCATAGCACACTCAATTGTATTAATAATTTAAATTTTCTATCAAAATTTAGTTCAATCCTATTCATAGAAATTATCAATTGCATAAATTTTCATTATGTTGACGAAACCTATTACCATATCAACTTAGAAGTGATATATTAAACTCTAATTTTCGAATTATACTTAAGTCATAAAAAATTTATTGAAATTGCATTGTATTAATAAATAACTTCAAATGTACAATAAAATGTTAAAATAAATGTGTTAATTTGATTAATATATAAAAGAAAGTATAACATTAATAAAGATAATATACTTTCATCAGAGACTTCAATATTGATTGATAAATTTTATAGAGTATAATGATAAAATAAAAAAACTGTATAATAGGAAAATAATAAATTTTATACTTAGAATCTCCTTTGAACGCTCTATTGATATCTTGCGATTTTTGCAATGACATTTCTTCTTGAGTTTTGCGTTTCTTCACAGGTGTTTGCTCTAAATCACGTTGCATCCGTTCTTCTTTTGAAAGTGCTTTGAAATCGGCAGAAAGATTAAAAATTGGTCTAGCCCATTCATTAATTAATTTTCCCGCTCTTTCTTTATTTTCTTTCGTTTCTTTAGGATGTTTATATATATACATAACGGCTTTTCCAATACCTGATTGTTTTAACGAACACTGGCCAACACGAGGAAACTGAAACATGATTTACTTTTATTCATTTGCTTAAATGGTATTCAAATATGTCTATACAGTATCACGTATAAATTAACATTAAAAGTTCATAATCTACTATAAATTAATAAATCATTTATTGCAGTCCATAATAAAATTACTCTTTTGTATAGATGTATGATGCAATCATTTTTTGTAACTATATTAGGGACACTTCAAAATATAAAAATTTGTTTTTTCAAATGTCATTATACACAAAGTTAAATATTTATTTAATCTTGATAATAATTATGTAGTAAATAAAACATCTGATAAAATAAGTTTCTTAAATTTTGAAGTTCTATTTTTTTTTTAATTTTAATTATGAGTAAAAATTGTGTTAAATATTACCTGGACTAACACAGGTATATATATATATATATATATATATATATATGTATGTGTATATATAAAACAGTAAAACTGAAAAACTTTCTTTTTATAAAATCTACAAATTTTTTGAAATTAGGTATAATTGAAATCTACTGATGCTTAAATGACCGGTTAAAATGTATGTTGTAAATTAGTTTTCAATGCAAAAATTATATTTTATATAACATTTTGATAGCATTTAATAATTTATTAAATTAATCAACTTGTACTTTAAATAAACTAATATTACATAGCATAAATAATACATACATTGTATGTTAATATATACTAAGTCAAGATATTAATCCTACATTTACACCATAGAATTATGTAAAATAATTAGCTTTAGTAGTAACGGTTTAAAATACTTACTTCACATAATAATTTTAAAATAGAATCTCGTATTTTCAGTGACGGCAAAGATCGATCGGGCATTGGTGATAACCAATCTGTAAGAACTGAAAGAACATTATGTTCTAGAAATGCTAATTGCAAATCATGCTTTTTTAATTGAGATAATACTTTGGGTAACATTGCAATTTTATTTTTTGCGGGTTTATTCAACTCATTTAACTTTCTATCTTCTTCATATGCATTTTTCATATCCATTAATAATTGAGCAATTATATCATCGTTATCATTAATAATATCAATATCTTTTCTCTTACGTCTTCGAGATTGTTCTTCCTTTTTCTTTGCTAGCATGCGATCAAAATCTGACATAGAATCGTCACTGTAAAAAATTTAAAAAAATTCAAAGTAATTCTTAATGTCTACAGTAATTCCAATAAATATTAATATATGATATATATTGAGCATATAATGAATATTTACGTATAGTGAATTTTATTTACGTATAGTATCATTCATGAATATGAATGTATAGTTTGTATATATTTACTTATTCTATAAAATAATTTAAATAAAAATTGTTTATAGATAATTCAGTTATTGATAAACATGTATCTTAACTATATAAACTACATGTAGTATATAATTAATACAAATATATTAAACATTTTTCAATGTAGATTCTACTAAATACATCCTGATCGAATATGTACTTGTATTTTTATGTGAAAAGTCATTAT